CTAGAATGTTTAACAACATAGATACTTGTGTGATAAAATTATTTCGGGTAGAAGATTTTCATCCTGTACCACTCACACTACTCAGTGTTTCTGTAAATGTCAAAAGGAAGTATACTATTTCTTTGGTAATTCAATTCATACACCCTCAGTATCAAAGTTTTTTATATGACCTACTACAAGTAATTAAATGTTTTCTGCAAATTATTAATATCAGAAGTGAAATAGGGAACACCATTACAGATGCCATGGACCCTAAAAGGATAATAAAAGAATACTCTGAACAATTCTGTGTTCACAGTTTGCTAATCTAGATGAAATGTTAGTTATATAGGTAACTTGCATGTCATGGGGCTTTAGTGCACTGATTATTTTGTCACCCAGATAATCAGCATAATACATGATAAGTAGTTTTGTGATCTGCAGCCTCCTCCCATCTTCCAAGCTCAAGTAAGCCCTGTTATCTGTTGGTTCCCTTCTTTGTGTTCATGTGTCCTCAAAGTTTAGCTCCCACTTATAAGTGAGAACATGCAGTATTGGCTTTCTGTTCCTGTGTTATTTTGCTTAGGATAATGGCCTCCAGCTCCATCCATCTTGCTACAGACAGTATAATCTCATTCTATTCTGTGGCTGCATAATATTCCATGGTTAATATATCCCACATTTTCTTTATCCAGTCTACTAGGTCATTCCCTGTCTTTGCTATTCTGGATAGTGCTATAATGAACATGCATGTCCATGTGTCTTTATGGTAGAATGGTTTATATTCCTTTGATAACTTTTTGATAGTGAATATAAACTGACAGTTACTAAGTGCATACTTTATATGGTTCATGCAGCTTAGTCTATTGCATGTTAACATGTGTTATCATGCAATAGACTAAGTATCTTCTTTAATTTCTATTAGGTAAATCATATTTAGATGTGATGATCAAAAATATCTCTTCCAATAACAAAAACTTTATGGGCTGCCTATTTTAAGTCTATTTCTTATTCAGCATTAAATAAATACCAGAAGCTAAGCCCTGGGTCTGCAGCAAAATGGAAATAGTACATTCTCTAGGACTTTGAGAGAGGCAGGCAATTGAAGCAAGAAATTAAAATAAGGTATGATAGGGAAATGTACGATGTTACGGAAATGTATAGCAGTAGAACCTAACTTAGACCAAATGTCAAAGAAAGGAAATCCTAAGGGAAAAGACTTGAAGCCTGAAAGATAATTCTGGTATTGGAAGATAAATGTTCTATGCAAGAGGCAGCATAGTGTGAGATGATATTGTGGTTTGCTTTTGCATTTCCCTGATGATCCACGATATTGAACATCTTTATATATATATTGTCCACTTGCATGTCTTCCTTGGAGAAATGTCTTTTGCTAGTTTTTAAATCAGGTTATCTGGGTTTTGTGCTATTGAGTTGTAAGAGTTTTTCTATATATGTATATATATATTTTGAATATTACTTCTTTATCAGACATGGGGTTTGCAAGTATTTTCTCCCATTCTGTAGGTTATCTTTTCACTGTGTTCATTGTTTCCTTTGGCGCTCAGAATAGTTTTAGCTTGGTTTGGTCCCACTGGTCTTTTTATGCTATTACTTGCATTTTTGGTGTCATATTCAAAAAACATTACCTAGACTAATGTCATGATGTTTTCCCCCTATGTTTTGTTCTAGGAGTTTTATAGATTTTGGTCTTATGTTTAAAACTTTAATGTGTTTTGAGTTCATTTTTCTGTATGGTATAAGATAAGGATCAAATTTCATTATTTTGCATGTGGTTATTCAGATTCCCAATACCCGTGTATTGAAGAGTCTATCCTTTACCTGCTGTATATTCTTAATGTCCTTGTTGAAGATCAGTTGACTCTGTATGTGTGGGTTTATTTCTGGGCTCTCTATTCTGTTCCATTGACCTATGTGTCTGAATTTATGCCAGTACCATACTGTTGGATGGATTACTCTAGGTTTGTAGCATATTTTGAATTTAGGACATTTAGTGCCTCCAGCTTTATTATGTCTCAGAAGTACTTTGGTTAGTAGTCTTCTGTGGTTCAGTATGAATTTTAGGATTGGTTTTTCTATTTCTATGAAAACTGGACATTGGGATTTTGATATGGATTTCATTTCATCTCTAGATTGCTTTAGGTAGTGTGGACATTTCAACAATATTAATTTTTCCAATCCATGCACATGAGATATTTTTCCATTTGTGTGTATATTCTTTTTTTTTTTTTTTTTTGAGGCGGAGTTTCGCTCTTGTTACCCAGGCTGGAGTGCAATGGCGCAATCTCGGGTCACTGCAACCTCTGCCTCCTGGGTTCAGGCAATTCTCCTGCCTCAGCCTCCTGAGTAACTAGGATTACAGGCACATGCCACCGTGCCCAGCTAATTTTTTGTGTTTTTGATAGAGACAGGGTTTCACCATGTTGGCCAGGATGGTCTCGATCTCTTGACCTCTTGATCCACCCGCTTCGGCCTCCCAAAGTGCTGGGATTACAGGCTTGAGCCACGGCTTCCAGCCTATGTATATATTCTTTAAAGATGATCCTTTATGTTTCTACGGCATCAGTTGTAATAACTCCCCCTTTAATTTCTAAGTTTATTTATCTGGGCCTTCCCCTTTTTTCTTTGTTCATCTAGCTAAGTGTTTGTCAATTTTGTTTATCTTTTCAAAAAATGAACCGTGTATTTTATTGACATTTTCTATTGTTTATTGTCTATATTACTTATTTATGTTCTAATCTTTATAATTATTTTTGTTCTGCCAACTTCAGGCTTAGTTCTTTTTCTTTTAGTTTTCTGGGAAATACAGTTAGGTGTTTGTTTAGGATCTTTTTTTAATGTAGATATTTATCACTATGCACTTCCCTCAGTACTGATTTTGCTGCATCTCACAAGTTTTGCTATGTTGCATTTTCATTTTATAAAAATGTTAATCATTAACCAAAGAAATTTTGTCCGAGACAGAGAACATGGCTAAAACTTATTTTCAGTGGCTTCATAATGGAAAGTCCATCTCATTAGGCAACCTCACACAGTTCAGGAACAGTGTAGCACACAAAATTGCCAGAAGCCTTCATAATACCGGTTTCCTCTGCAGTGGCTTCACTGCGGCATTCAATTCATCTTCATCTTCTACTCTTTTCCCTCTTGACCATCTATTGTCTAAAATGTGAGACTTATCCAGAATGTATACCCTCTATATGTGCTTTTGTCACCAGCAGTTTCCAGCTTTTTGAAAAGATAAACAAAATTGACAAACAGTTAGCTAGATGAACAAAGAAAAAAGGGGAAGGCCCAGATAAATAAACTTAGAAATTAAAGGGGGAGTTATTACAACTGATGCTATAGAAGCATAAAGGATTGTCTTTAAAAGGAAGACAAAAATCTCATTCAAACAGCTCTACATACATGAAATGTTTTGGATGTGTCAGTGTACAAGAACAAATTGAATACCTTTCTTCTTGTGTTTCTTATTAAAATTTTTGGTATTCTATTTACACACACAACAGATGACTGAATTTTTAAAAGCACATAGTATCACTCCTTTTTTAGATGTCATAGGTAATCTTTGCATTATCTTAAAATCACTTGATAGTTTGGGAGATCTATAAAATAATTTTTGTCACTATGTTGTTGATTTAGTGGCTTAAATATCCCATCAGATCAGTTAACTGCACACCGTGAAGCACGTGTTAAAAGCACATTGGAAATTGTTCTGTCAGTAAGCTAGAGACAAGGCTATTAGATTTTCTTTCTGTTCCAAATGAAAACCTTATAAAAAATATCTGAACTTCATCCCTTAACTGTGACCCACATCAACCCTCATCTGCCAGGGACTTGCCTCCAGAGGTTCATGGGGGCTACCACCTTTGAAGTAAAGCAAGGAGTGATTTTATCAGCTCCTTTACCTGAAGAAGGGAAGACAAGAAGAAAGAAAATGTCAGATCCTGTAGTGTCAGAGAACAAATGTGAAGTTGATAACCCAAGTTGGATTTCTGAACAACTTTTTCTGTTGAAATATTGTTACCCTTGACAGTTAAATTCTGTTGTAATGTTGGAGTAGTATAATAATAATACCTTCAATATACATTCAACACTATCTTATTCCAAAGCATTTTATTTCACTCTTTCATTTATTTGACTAAAATTTACTAATGACACACTAAGGGCCAGGCACTGTTATAGGCACTGGTGATATACATACCATACTCTCTTAAATTAGCTTAATTTCTCTAGAATTTTGCTCTTTTTCTCTCTCTTTTGAGAGAGGGAAACTAGTTTATCAAATGTTGGTATAAGCTAAGTCAAGTTACTAATAAGTATCAGCACTAGAGGTCAAATTTAGGTCTTCAAAAGCATTGCTCTTCTCATGTTTTGTGAACAAATCTCTGTGGTTGACATTGCATTGCAGAAAATTGCTTCTAAAATTCCAAATTATAGACAAATAAATATGTGTTTTAGAGAAATATTTGTTTTAGCATTGGTTATTAGTTATATATGCATAGTCCTGCTTCTCAGGAGGTATCATACATATCAGGACTCCTGAAAAATATTGGAGTGAACAGATGCTAATGGAATGTATTTCCAAATACCACATAATACATGACCTCTTAGTGCGTTAAAGATTTTGTTTCAGGATAAAAAATAGTAGGCCTCACATTGGCTCTCAGATATAATTTACATCCTTGAACACAGTTTACAAGAAATACTGTATTTTGGGAGATGGGGGGCGGTGGTACTTTCCTAGATCAATAGAGCAATGCTTTATTTTTAAAGCATATGTGAATAATCTTCATGAGTCATCTAAAGGTTAGATCTCCAGAGCATATTGGGAGACAGAGAGATGGGGTTCACTTACCTCAAATTTCTAAGAATGACGTTTCTTTATAGATTAAAATGAATCAACTCTTAATGCTTTTTGACCTCACTAAATGTGTTAGGAGTGTTCCCTCATTCTTTTTTGTTTAATTTTGTTTTGTTTTTGTTTTTCTTTTTTGTAGGTTTCTGCCCACTTGGCTATTGGGAATGTCAGAGTGGCAAATGCTATAGACTGGAAGAAAGATGTGACTTCATAGATGACTGTGGAGACAATACAGACGAAAATGAGTGTGGTAGCTCCTGTACTTTCGAAAAAGGCTGGTGTGGCTGGCAGAACTCCCTGGCTGACAGCTTTGATTGGGTTTTAGGGGTTGGCTCCCATCAAAGCTTTAGACCTCCCAAAGACCACACACTTGGAAATGAAAATGGTGGGTTATTATGTTGTGGTAATTGCTTTTACATGGTATTTACAACGTACATCAAAATGTCTTTTATGACAGCAGGTAGGGAGCTCTGGAGAGATCATCATGGTGATATTGCAAGGTGATCAAACATTTAGTGAGTGTATTTTTTTCTTAAGGCTGCCGTAAGAAAGGGCCACAGAGTGGATAGCTTAGACAACAGACATTTATTGTCTCAATTTCTGCAGGCTGCAAGTCCAAGATCAAGATACTGGCAACGGTAGTGGTTCCTTCTGAGGGTTGTGAGAGAGAATCATCTCTTCCATGTCCCCTCCCAGATTCTGGTAGTTTCAGTAATTCCTTGGCTTGTAGATGATGGTTTTCCCTATGTCTTCACATCATCTTCTCTATAAGCATGCCTATTTCTAGGTCCTAATTTCCCCTTTTATTAGGAACCAGCCATGTTGGTTTAGTGTCCATCCTAACAGCCTCATCGTAACCTGATCATCAGCAAAAATCCTGTTTCTGAAGGTCACATTTATAAGAACTGGGGGTTAGAACTTTGGCATATTTTTGGGAAGGGGGAACACAGTTCAAACCATAACAGCTGTTAGTCAAAATCTAATATTAATCACTAATTCAGTAATTGAAGTTAGATGATAATGTATGCTGCCATCAGATATCTTTCCTAAATGGTACACACTTGGAATGAGTAACCCTGAATTCTGCCACTCATATGATCATTAGCAAGTCATTTAACTTTTCAGATTCTCAAATTCCTCATCTGCCATTTTGAGATAATAAAATTTGACCGGGGTGCCTCACAAAGATTATAGAGATGATGTATATGAAGGGAAAAGAGTTTGAAACCTGTGGAGATGCCATGAAAATTTAACTATAAAGCCACATATGTTAAGGGCATTGGGCATGGCTCTTTTTTGGTAGTGAGTAGCTGAGATCAAGTCTCAGCTTCCTTAGTGAAGGGATTAAGGATAGTAGTAGAATGAAGAAGGGACCCTGAATCCCTAGATGCTGCAAAAATAGGCAAAAGAGTCTAAATATTGAACTTTCATAGGCCTATGAATTTTAAAAAAGCTGACCTAAAGCCAGAGAAAGGAAGATCAAAATCTCATTCAAACACTCAGCTCTACATACATGAAATGTTTTGGCTATGTCAGTGTACAAGAACAAATTGAATACCTTTCTTCTCATGTTTCTTATTAAAATTTTCAGTATTCTATTTACACACTCAACAGATGACTGAATTTTTAAAAGCACATAGTATCACTCCTTTTTTAGATGTCATAGGTAATCTTTGCCTTATCTTAAAATCACTTGATAGTTTGGGAGATCTATAAAATAATTTTTGACACTATGTTGTTGATTCGATGGCTTAAATATCCCATCAGATCAGTTAATCTGCATACTGTGAAGCAAGTGCTAAAGGCACATTGGAAATTGTTCTGTCAGTAAGCTAGAGACAAGGGTATTAGATTTTCTTTCTGTTCCAAATGAAAATACTTTTGGCAGCTCAGATTATATGAATTGTCATTAAAAACCCTAACTATAATGGAAAAGCTAATATAATCCTGTCATTGTTTTTTTTTTGTCTTCTCTGAATTCTGTCCTTGTTCCTAGGGCACTTCGTGTATCTGGAGGCTACTCCAGTGGGCCTTCGGGGTGACAAAGCACACTTCAGGAGTGCCGTGTGGCGAGAATCTAGTGCAGCCTGCACCATGAGCTTCTGGTATTTCATATCTACAAAGGCCACAGGGTCCATTCAGGTTCTCATCAAGGTAGGAATGTGGCCTCTACCGGCTCTGAGGTTGTTTCGTTTTGTTCTAGAGACAGGATCTCACTCTGTCACCCAAGTTTAAGTGTGGTAGTGCGGTCATGGCTTACTGCAGTCTCCAACTCGTGGGCTCAAGTGATCCTCCTGCCTCTGTCTTCCAGATAGCTGGGACTGCAGGCACAAATCACCATGCCTGGCCAACTTTATATTCTTTGTAGACGTTGAGTCTCACTATTGCCTTGGCTTGTCTCAAATTCCTGTGCTCAAGTAGTCCTCCCACTTCAACCTCCTAAAGTGCTGGGATTACATGCATGAGTCACCATACTTGGCCCGCTCTCTGTAAGTAGCATGTGGCCTGGGAGAGTTTGTTACAACACTCCTGACTTGGCTAGAAGGCCCCCTGTTTTTCAAAGGTTCCATCTACTATGGCTGAAATGATCTATGCGGTTTGGTAAGCTGGGGTGTGAGAGCCAGCTTTGACTTCAACATCACATCCTGTGATTATGACTGAATCCCAGAGACTCCTTATATAATAATAATTAGTCTAGGACACATACATTTCTTCTTCCTATTTAGCGTTTCCTTCCCTATCCTTTTCAATAAAAGAAGACAGATTATTTGTATATCTGAAAGAAGAGCAGCTGTCCATTTTTCCTCACATATGAGCAGTCATTAAGGGAACTAATAATAAACATTCTGGTCCCCAGCATACTGTGCAAAGGACTGAACTACTCAGGAGAATGATCAAGGTATGATTACACGGAACTGCTTATTAACTGTGACACAGTAATGCCTTTTCTTACTGAGGATTAGTCGGATGTTTCCGTCAGAGCTTTAATTTAGTATAACAAAATGACAGTGTTCAGAGAACAAAATAACATAGTAAATATTAACATTAATGAGACTTGGTGAAACACCTTTACTCTTTATCGAGTTAAAACTGAAAGGAGATACATATGTGCACACACAGGTATGTGTGTATTTATTTCAAGAATCTAGGTAGAATTCCAGGAAAGCTTACTTTAAAGTGTGCTGTGACCACTGCTGTTTTTTTTTTTTTTTTTAATCACACATGAGCTTTGTTTAAGTGCCCTGGCACTGATAGAAAATGTCTGAGCTGGCCGGGTGCGGTGGCTCAAGCCTGTAATCCCAGCACTTTGGGAGGCCGAGGCAGGTGGATCACGAGGTCAACAGATTGACACCATCCTGGTCAACATGGTGAAACCCTGTCTCTACTAAAAATACAAAAAATTAGCTGGGCATGGTGACACGTGCCTGTAATTCCTGCTGTTCAGGAGGCTGAGGCAGGAGAATTGCCTGAACCCAGGAGGCAGAGGTTGCGGTGAGCCAAGATCGCACCATTGCACTCCAGCCTGGGTAACCAGCGAAACTCCGTCTCAAAAAAAAAAAAAAAAAGAAAAAAGAAAGAAAAGAAAAGAAAATGTCTGAGCTGAATAGCAAATAGCTTATACTTCTGAACAGTTTATGTCTGCAGACTCTATGTTTAATAGGAAACTGGAATTGACTTTATATCTTAAGACTCTTCTATAATGATGCAGAAAAGCCTGCCTAATAAAATACATGTTGCAAGAACCACCGTGAAGCGTTGTTATGTTTAAAGATGGAAACTTATAGAAGTATAGAGCTGAGAGTTCTCATAAGAGGACTTCGCTGGCACTCTTGGAGTGTGATACTTGATTCTGTGGTGTGCACCATATGAGAGATTTTGCACTGCTCTGTGGTCTTTGTTTAATTATTTTAAAATGAATAGTATTTACATTTCAATTATCTTATAGTAACAAACTGTATAGTTCTAGAAAGTGTAATATTAAACCATTTTGCAATAATAGGCTTTCTACCAAGTCATAGAATTCCTGTGCTTCCTGTAATTGATTCTTAGGGAAATCTAACAGCATTTTAAAAAGCCTGTCTTTCTACTTCACACACACACACACACACACACACACACACACACTTAAAAAATATATGCCTATACTTTATTAGTCAAATTGATTGTGAAGAAGAGAAATGTCTCATAACATATATTAGTTTTCTATTCATGTAAGTTAAGGCAATCATTTTATCTTGGTGATTAATGACATATATATTTTCGACCATCATTACAAAATAGTTATCTGTCTCTCTCTGTAAAATCATGCTGGATTTTACCTTGCTCATTAGTTTGGAAGCATCCTAGCTGGAAGGTAAACCCAATAAAGAAAGGATTCTGCCTCTGAATTCTTTCTTTCTTTACTCTTTGTCTTTTAAAGTGTTCCAGTGTACACATGTGCTCCCTCTGGCTTAGCTCTCCCTGTCTATTCTTAAGAAGGCCCTCTTCTGTATTTTCCATCTTTTCCCTCCACTCTGAGTCCCATCTAATCTGGAAGACTCGGCCTTTGCAGAACTGGCCTTGGCTGAATTAGCCTAGCCTTGCTTTTCTGAGTGTCTCAATGTTACAAAAGATTCCTGCTAATTGGCTGTTAATTGGAAATTATTCTAGTTCATCAAACTGATTGTAAAATCTCAAGAGCAAAGTTTTAGGCTTCAAGTATCCCTCTCAGATCTTCAGAAAAGGGACTGCTAGATGGAGAAAAAAGTGGTGGCCTCCCAGAGGCTGTGGCTGGGCTGGAGCCAACCCTTATTTAGGACAACCCTTGTGAAGGAATGGCCACTGTGCATTACATGCATGACACTCAAGTCTAGTCTGAAGAAGAATCTGTCATCTCAATCTGAAACATATACATAGAATCAGATGTCAAATCAGGCACTATTGAACAGTAATTTACTGGTAGCATCATTTATATGGGGTAATATTGATTGTAGGTCAGTACAACAATGTATACATAAATATGCCATTTATAGAACACCATCACTTATGTTGTTTCTTAGTATTCCCCTCTGAATTAAATAATGGGAGCCTTGTTTTACTAAGGCATAGAGGAGTCACAGAAATAACTTTACCACTCTATAGCTAAATACCCAGTCAGTGACAGAGTTGGAATGTAAATCCAGGTATGTCTATGTCCAAAACTCATTTGTTTACTCCCAACCCTGAGCCTCAAGTGTTCCACACTGACTTTAATATAGAAATGAAGATCCCCTTTTACCCAGATCTATATACATTGCATAGAATAACTTTTTAGAAAAAAAAAAAGAATCAAGGTTCTTAGAATGACCATATATGATTTTTCAATGACTCCTGTAATAAAGCAAATTCAGAGAAAGCCCAGTAAAGCAAAGCTATTGCTTTTGAGAACATTTGGTAGAAATCAGTATCATATTACCTCTGACATATTTTATACATTTTTTTCTGTATTTTTTGCCTTTGGTTACATGAGAGCTACTTTTCATTAGAGAGATGCAACTAAAATATCATTTTTGTATCTTTAATCAAGTAATGGGTGAATAACAAGAGGATAAGAAAACTGAAAAATGGATATGAATTTTTTTCTTTTCCTTGAATTGCTTTATTTATAAATGAGAAAAAAAAAGCTTTAAAAGGATGTAGTTAAACTTTTTTGAAGAAAAACAATTTTTAAAATGCAGTTTGTTTTGTATGACATCACAGAGTTTACCAGGTAGAATAACTGATTCTCACTCTCTGCTTGGGCTAAGCCAAGCACTGTGCATGAGATTCAGCCAGTGGGAAGCAATGATAATCTCTGTTACTCCACACCTTCATTTTATGAGTGAGTCAAGAGACGCTCAGATGGGCTAAGTTACAAACTCAAGGTCACCAGTAAGTGGATCATCTGTGACTTGAACTCACGTATTCTGAAATTAAGTTTAGGAAGTCTGCGCAATTGGTTTGGTTCATGTCTTTCTAAGGAGGAAGTTTGGATGTTAATAATCTAAGTTAAAATAAGTGCGTCATATCTTTTTCTGAATTTTGAAATAGTTCATTTTTAAAATGGCGTCCTTCTTGCTGACATTTCTCATTTTTGCCTTTTTAATTCATTTGTATTCACTTTTAAATTTCTCATTAAATTTAAATGCATTGCCTTTCAGACCAATATTTAAAACAAAAAATAAAACAAGTACTCAAGAGTAAAATAAGGGTTTTACAACATGAAAGTTAACTCATTTTACAGATGTATTTAATGTTATTCCCACTCTTTTACCTATTTTCTAGTCACTTGTTTCTTGATGGGGTTAATTAATGATGAGTAACATGTATACATCAACACACTAAAAATAATCTGAGGGAACTTTTTAAATGGACTTTGTTTTTGACAGTTTGTCTTCATTGGGTAGCTCCACAAGCAACAAAAGACCTTTGCATCTTTTCAGCCAGCCTTTTGAATAAAATGCAGGAACACCTGCTACCTGAAGAGCATTGTCTTCTTTTGGAACTATTCCATCTGTAATAAACTGTTGATATTTTAATCAAGATTACTGCATGCTTTAGGGAATTTGAATATATTTAATTGAAGGCATTCAGGACTATCCATTATGCAGTCATGATAGAAAACATAATATATTCAAGCCAGAAGGAGAGAAAAATAATGTCTTTCAGGAGAGCCCTCCTGATACAGCAACCTACTTATGTGGGAAGACCATAATTAAATTAGTTCATTGCTTTATCTTGCTTAGTGGTTGAGATAATTTTAGAGTTGGTGGGGTCTTATTCTCAGCTATTCATTTTACAGCTGAAGGCATTAAGAGTAAGAGGTTATATTTCTTGCCTCAGCTCAAATGGTATTTTAAGAAAAAAGTCAAGATGTGAATCCAGTTTTTCTGAATTCTAACTTAAGGCTCTTCTATTGTCTTTCTAGAAACTGTATCTAACAATTTTGAAATGTAATAGCGAAATAGATACTTTGTTCAAGAGGCTGCAGAAAATGTCAGATAAAAAGAAGCTAGCTCCTCTTGATTATGTAACAGACTGTGGTCATTCTGGGTACACTTTTAACCTTAGTCTACGAGCAATGAGTCTTGGTTGTAGAAAAGGGTCAACTGAGTGCATGGTAAGCACTCTGCATCCATCCAGACCCACCTCCACCC